AAGAATACTGACCAGCGGGCGTCTCGTAATGAGTCTTAGTCCAATACAGGGGAAATCGGCACTCCCTACTCGCCCGATCAACAAAAAAAGGAAGCTCTCCCTCGCCCAACACCGGTTTGATCCAGAAAAAAGTGTATCGCCAGTTCTTATACGAATTGGCGTACTGGGCAAATATTGATCCGAGCACGTTGCCCGCCTTCAACGAAACCCAGCCAAGCTTCTTCTTTGAAGGAGACACTTGGAAGAAATAAAAGAACAACCGTACAGAGTATTCCCATCCGAAGTATCGGCATATACTCTCAAAGACTCGAAGAAACGCCCAAGCGTTTGGATGCAGTTGAGAAGGCGCGACCTGCAAGTGGGATAATACCCCCATCTCAAACTCAGTTAGCGGAAACCTCACTTTTTGATCTGTGAAGTGAGTCTTATATACCATGAACCGCCACCGAGATTTCGCCGCATTACTAGGCGCGACACAAGCGCGGCGATCACTCCTGACCGCGAACGGTTGCCACATAGCCTCATTGGCGCCGTTTTCAGTAATGGTGAAGCTAGGTTCAGATTGGTAGTGGCGACGCAAAATGTCCCGGTCAGCGTAACTTGATGACGAAGTAGCTACCACTGTGTCGACCCAGTTCCTCACCTCGAGACAATCGTCCGACTGAGACATCGCCATAAGTCAAGAAAGTATCTTCAAATCCTACCTGGGAGCGACAAACACACAATCAATCCTCAATACTTCACCAACGCCAAGAAGACCACTGCGAAGGAAAATGAGATTCCATCTCGCCCTATCCCTCACTCATGTGACCGCCAACACCCTCCTTACCAGCTACTACAAGAAAAAATAGCTCACACAAATAACTTACCATCAGAATCAGAAGTTTCTGAAGAGCTTGAAGAGTAAAAATCCGAGTAGCTTAAAGAAGAAGGCCACCAAGCAGGCAGTATTTTATAAAGCCCCAGATCTTCATATATGGCGTCCCACACACCATACTTCACAAGTCGCCCATCTTCCGGGTGAAATCTACCTAGTCGGTTGTCTGTGGAATCGTCATATTTACGGCGATGGAAGGATGGGGAAATATTAGGAATATGGCCCCGTGACGTGCTCAAAGCAATAGGGGAGTCAACAGTCGGGTGGGAAGGCTTATAGTAATACTCTATGGGATGATTTTGTGGGAGACGGTTAATAGAGGACAATGGCCGAACAAGTCGCCCTGCTCCAAGGGCAGAACACCGTGAAACGTGGCGGTGAAAACCTCTCCTTTGTCCGCAAGTACAAACAGAAGACCTTGATCCACGACGAGAAGGGCGAGTCCTAACCCCTTCACTGGAACCTCCTGACTATCGCCCTCCAGATCTAGCAGACCGACGCCTACCAGACCCAGAAGCGGTCTCACCACCTGACACTTGGCCCTCACCACGCGGTCGAGAGCCAGATGCTTCACCCAAATAGGGAAGCATAGGCCCTAAAGCCCGTTCAGGAAAGAGATCTGAATCTCCTCTTCAGAAAAACCTAGAAGTTCTGGAATTCTACCATGGGGCAATGACTCTACCCCAGGGACTAAAGTACGATAGGAGGGAAAGCTGCTGATTTCCCCACGCTTAGCAAGATATGCCTGCATAGCTGGCCCCACCGTACAACCTTCGAGTGAGCCAAAGGCTTCATCAAACTCTTCCTCCTTAACCTCAACCCCCAACTCCGATAAAACCAACCCAGGAACATCCATGATTGTTACCGTGCCCAGAAAAAGAAGAGGAGAAGCTATACAGAAAGAAGCACAAAGGAATATCAAAGGAGAAAGAGTGAGACACTATACCTGAGATAAATGCAGACAGTGAAGAAAGAAAGACCAGCTCGAACGCTATGGCAAAGAGAAAGGAACACAACGTAATGATACAAACAGGAAGAGTAGGAGTTAGCGTGAAGAAGGCCCTCAGGAGGGAACAAATCTTCTTTTTATAGAAGGAAGGAGAACAAGATGGCGTACACGTGTACTGGCTTTTGATATTCCGACCGAGAGATGTAGTAACCGTCAGTCGATGGGCAGTTGTGATGAGGGGCTTGATGGTAATTTCAAGGGAATAAGACACCCTTCACGTCGCATTAATGCGACGTGCCTCGAAACAACGCAGTTACTTGCAATGATGAGGAATCTATCATTATAACTCCTCGAATTCCACTAAACACCCTTCGTGTCATAAGGGCGAAATATCGAGAGTACCCCTGGAGGAGCGAAAGACAAAACTAATGCTATTCCTGCAACCAGTCAAGGACGACCAAAATCTCTGAATGGGTGACACCAACCGAAGGACGCCCAATGATTGCGACTTGGCACCAACGCAAGTCTACTACTATATTTGAGTGGCGACACCACGTTGATATCGCCCAACGATATCGTCTGGACACCAGCTAACAAAGATTACCAATCACGGAGATCGCCGAAAAGGTAACGCCCAAAGAGTATAACTTGGCACCAACCTACGCATGCTACCAAGCTGGGGAGGCTCCTGTTCCGAATAGCCCAAACACTGAAGCGGCCCAGCTGTTCAGGCCCAGTCCTTAGCTCCAACTCGCGTCATCCCTAAGGGCTGACATGGACCCTCTCATCCCCCAACGTTGCAGCACGTCCAAGGGATACACCGAAGTGTCCCATCTTGGGACGCTAACCCCCAAAGGCGACCGCCACAGGCACCTTAAAGGGAAACTACCCCTTTGCCCGGTGCTGACATCGCCAGACGCAGAGGGTGCAGCGCTGCCACAATGGCAGCACCAGCACGCCTAACACTGCCATCATGGGACTAAACCCCAAGGAGGGTTGACCCCCTCCTCACCAACCCACACTATTTTCCCTATAAATAGCCCCCAAAGGCACCCCTTGAAGGTATCTTATGTATCGTTATATTGCCCATTTACTTAGAGTCATATTATCATCTTTACTTATCCTTTGTTGATTAACTGCTATTACTTGGCACAATACTCCTTAGCTTGGTCTGTACCTGTGCTAAGGGTATCATCCATACAGTGACTCATCCCCAAAGGGAACATAATGGGCTAATAGATCCCAACGGTACAGAATCCAAGGAAGAGAAATGGAGTTGATAAGTTTCTATAAAAACATTGTTTTGTCTTGGAGACAGAGATGTCTAGCCCAATGGACTAGTATGTTGATTTTGGATCTAATGCCCTCTCCAAGGTATCTATGAAGGAGATACCCTTGAGTGAAGAAAATTGGCTTTGCCAAATGGGGTGTGTGTGCGCACAGTGACAGCATAACAGTAAGAGAGAGAGCGTAACGTACCTGTAGGTTTTACCTCTCTTATTTATAGGGTTTACCTGTGGGTTGTAGATTCTGGACCTTTAGTGCCTCTGATGAAGGCCCAGACCCGTTTTCCATGCTGTCGTATTAGAATTGGTATCCTTGATGGATATCTTTCCATTGTTATGCTTGATTTAAATCTTATATTACCCCTTACTAGGCCTGTGAATCAATGAGCCACTTATATAGGTACATAACAAACTTGTTTAGTGTTGACATTATGAACAAACTATAATCTATAGCTGGTCTCCAAGAAGAAGCTTATATACCATCACAAATGTAGAAAAGAAAGGATAAGAAAGCTGGTTTCCACTAGTTTGGTTCTTGCATAAAAATCATTAACCAAGGTTTTTGGTAGGAGAAACTTGTAAAACAGATTACAGATTTTCTGTTTCCTTCTTAATTTTGCTATAGTGAATGTCACATATAGAGCCTACGATTGCTTCTTTAGGAGGAACTTCTATTAACATTCTCATTTTCATTATGTTTGTTGTTAGTCTTTATCACTATCAATATCAATGGAGATTAAATTTGTCATTATGTTATATTTGACTTCTTTTCTCTTTCTGTAACTTGGACAATTTTATTAGATATTAAACACAATGGAGGTCACAAATTAGGCCTGTGATGAATTGATCATCAGGGGACTAGCGTAGAAATATCATAATTTTGGGTCTTATAAGTTCAAAATCAAGAAATAATGAGAAACAGAAGAGTTTGAGAAGTTTGATTTTAGAAACTGCAAGACACATATCATTGTCAAGTGCAGTAGAGAAATTGCTTAAAAACAAAGAACCCTTGCAGCAAGAACTCCTCTATTCCTTGAATTCCAATGCAAGCGTGATAACCATTTAGCAGTCTTTATATACTTTTCATCAGAGTATATCTTGAAGTTTAACTTAAATGAGGCACAAGTTTAGATTAATATGTGATATTGCACCCATTTATATTTTTTATTATTATTATCTTAGGAGACACAATGTTTAAGAAGATGACATTGACAGAATAGTTTATAAATATTTTTTCTTTGTAATCAAAAGATTATTTATTATTTAGAGAATTAAAGTATTGTTTGAGACAGTTATAACAATATTCATCTGAGCCAAAGATGAAACTTTTTATATTTAGGTCCATTAATTAAGCGTAAAAAATGGATCTAATCTTACCTCACCCCAATTGAGCCTTGCCAAGAAAGGATCCAACATTGGCTAATTAAGTAAAAATTTATAGGTACTTTTTAATTTTATCAATTATTCTACATCATTGTCCCCGGATTGCATTGTTGTAAATGATTCATATAAAGTATTCATCAACAAAGGACACATTAACCACAAAGAATTTATACATCGAGAGAACTGTAGCAAGTTTTAAAAACAAAATTTTAAAAAAGATCCACACTAATAAGAAATTCAATATTTGAAATTATTGGGAGAGGCATTACTGCTATAGGCATCCGGAAAAGACATCCCAATTGTCATTTTCCACAATTTTGTAAGGATAGTGATCGAGAATTTAAAGCAATACAAGTTTCATTTTAACATATTTATAAAGGCAGGAGACAATAACATCTGCTAGCTAGAATGAACTAACAGAAAAAGAAAGAGAACATTGAAATTGGAATTTTTCATTCATTATATACTTCATGTTACAATCACTATTGCTCTCTGTACAGGAAAAAGAAAATTCAATCTGGACATTTGGTGTAAAAAAGAGACCAGTTGATGGGGAAAATGGACATTTCTCATGGCACCTTGGGCTCTTCCAAACATTTCCAGACATTTAGCAAACCAGACTCATCTCCAGTGAAGAAAAGCCCAAACCCATCAGGACCTATATGTAATGACCGAACATCTTTTTGCGAAAATAGCCTACCCCTTTCTGAAAATCTGAAAATGTAGACATGGTCAGGGCTGCAACATTTGCCCAACGGAAATATATCGAGTTTTACAGAAGAAAAAATGGATGCAAGTTCACTTACGATGGCAAATCATACATGCGAACTGAATTGTCTCTGCACGAGCAATACAGTATGGGTTTGGCTTCTGCATCAATCATCCCACAAAGTGCAAGAACACACTATAACAAAAAAAAAAATGATTGAGTCAACTAACTCGATGACCATTATAGAAAATATCAGCTTGATTTCTCCAAATGAAATCACAACTAAAATACACTTGATATAAAATAAAAAATTTACTTATGCAAACACCTGGTCACACAACTTACATTTTCCTCTCTGTGCTCATATGTTACTTCGAAAGTTCCCTCCTTCGTGAAACACCAGACCTTAATAGTGCAGTCGGATGAACTTGATAACAAATACTGCTCCCAACAAATAAGGGATGTGACTACCTCAGTATGTCCATTGAGTGTCCTTTCACACTGCAATGTATCAAGGTCCCAAACCTGAAGAAAACAATATAACGTAGTTCTTACAGACAAGTTATCATGTAGAAACAAGCAACAAGCAATTGTGTAGCCTAACAAAGGAAATCAGCAAACCTCCTAAGATTTATAAAGACAAACATATATAAAACCATCTATAAGAAAAAAACATCATAATGTCAGTTTGAACATCACACAACAGAAAGACCAAGAACATTTAGCAATGTCTACATCAAAATATAGAATTGACCATCAGACGTTTTTAACAAAATCCATTTCGAGCAATACATGCATTTGATATTATTTGAATCATTTTTTTAGTCTTACTCATTCATTAATATTTATAATTAATATAATTAACAAATATGTATGTTTAAGAAGTTAATAAATATTCACATTAATACTAATTAAAAGAGAGTATAAACAGTAAATTTAATAACTAACCAAATTATTATTCATCAAATGAATATTAATAATATAAATGAAATATTATAAAAAATATTCATAAAAAATATTTATTCAATATATTAATTATTATACAAAAATTGTTAAAACATATAATTCTGTTATTTTTATAAAATACAATTATTAATAAATTTATAATATGCAGATATTAATAATAAAAAAGAAAGTCCTCACTGCCCGACAATAGACATACCTTTATGCTATGATCCACGGACCCTGAGTACAACATATTCCGACCAATACTCAGACAAACTACAGCTTTAGTGTGACCTCTTAGTGATGCAATCAGTTCAAAGGGGGGCTTACTTTCAGAGCTGACTCTCCATGCAGAGATTACACCATCCTGCAAATTAAATCATCATACAATACATAAATTGATAGATGACATAAAAGCCTGATCAAAGAACAAATCTATCCAGTTTCCAATTACAGAAAGAAAAAAAGGTCTGAATAGTATTAAATAAATACAATAAACTACTGTATGAAGTTTCTTGTTATTAACTAATTTGAAAGAAGTAATATCTAAATTAATTTAAATTCAAAAATTGAGAGCTGCTATTTTATTATTCAAAGAGATATGACATAATTTATTACTTAAAGGAAATTAAATCTTTTATAACTAGTTTACAGAAGAAGTAAAAATTCATAACTAATATTTAAATTTAATTTAAACTTATACTATCTTGCACTTATTAATATTCTTATTTATGACATAATTTTATATCATTTTAAGTAAGAAAAAGACACAAACTAATATTTATTTATTAAAATTTAAATTCAAAAAATATCGACTTTCTCCACCTAATTTTTATCAGTTGTGTTTTTCTCACTTAAAATAAAATAAATTTATTTTATTTAAAAGTACAGACATCAAATCTAAAAATAAACTCAACATTTAATTGAATTAAAAAGGAGTGATATGTCTGTACCAAAGAAAACAAAAAGATATATATATGGGTTTGTCGAGATAATTTTATCTCTGACTACTAAATCATAACCGTACAAAGATGGATCAATGACGATAAAGGAAAAAAGAAAAAAAAATAATAACCATTCAAAGGTGAATCAATTAATATAAAGAAATAAATAAATAAAACCACATAGTTTTGAGTGGCCGAAAATAAACTTATCTCAAGCTGCTTCAGAAATATTTTTAAGGTTGGATAATAAAGTGCAATTTTAAGGTTTGAAGATAATAACAAGGATAGACTTACTGTTCATGAACACTCATCGTTAATTATGTCACACATCAATTAGTGAAGAGTGATCCTTCATTTAATTAGTGTATTGACGCAAAGAAAAGGGATTGATATAATGGCCTTATTTGCCCGTTTGTTTGGTTTTTTTTCTTTAATTTTTTTTCTCGAATAAAAATATTTTTCACTTTAAATTTATTTGGATGTTTATTTTAAAAAATAAAAAACACCAAAAAAGCCAAAAATTTACTTTTTTTTAAAAGCTAAAAATTTTAACTTTTAAAAAAAATAGAAGTCAAAAGCTAAATATTTTTTTTCAAAAATTAAATATTTTTATAAAAACATAAATAATTTTAACTTTTGTAAAAAAATAATTTTAAAATAAGAAAGAGATAAAAGCTATTTTTTCTAGAAAGCGAAACAAACAAGCTGTTTGTCCAAAAGGATTGTGCGTCTGGAAAATATTTTAAAAGATTTCTAAGTGGGTTGGCAGTTCATAGAAGTTTTGTTTTTTATGCTCTTACAACTTCTGATCAGCATGCTACCATGCTAATGTTTATTATGATTACAAATGTTATAGCTTTCTACATAAGAGAATGTACGCGTCATCCAAGAAAGAACAGAAGCCATTTTTGGGACTAACAATTAAGTGCTGCATATGCCATGTATTTATGAATATTATGCACTTATTGATAGAAAAATTTTAAGTACTCCTTATGTATGAGATTTCTCTTGCATTGTATTATTAAATATGTATCACCTCCTTATGATTATCAAAAAAATGCATTTACATAGTGCAATGGTAAATATTCGTTAGCACAAAAAAAGTGCTTCAAAATAACCTCTTTGTTGCAGCACCACAAACTTATTTGAGTGACAGGACAGACACTGTTGCAATAAATGGGGTCCTATAATTCTACAGCATAGTCTAAATTATTTAGTGAGAAATGACACATTAACCAGGAAGAATTTATACCTCTAGTAGAGCTGTAGCGAGTTTTCAGAACAAATAAATTTCAAATTTAAAAACAATTTTAAAAGAGATCCACAATAATAAGTGCCCGTTTGGAGGGGCTTTTATTCCTAAAAAATGTTACTTTTAAAAAAAATAAAAGTTCTTTTGAAAAAATTTAGATGTTTGAATAACAACTTTTAAAAAAAGTAAAATTTAAAATAAAAGTTAAAATAATGCATTTTTTTAGCTAGTAATTAATTACTTTTAAAAAAAAGCTGAAATTAAAAGATAATATAAATTATTTTTTTTGGAAAAAAGATAATATAAATTTATAAATACAATTTTAACTTCATCCTATCATACCTATTTTATCTCTCCTTATCCCAAAATTATGCTATTTTGTCTCTCCTTTATTGTAATTTTATATAAAAGGTGTTTTTTTCATTTTAACATCAAAACAATTTTCTAATGTAAAAGTGATTTTCAGATCTTACATCCAAATGTAAAATAATTTTATCTTTTAAAAAAGTTCTTAAAAAAAAAAACAATGCATAAAACCTCATTTTTTTTAAAAGCTTATTATTCAAATGGACCCTAAGAAATTCAATATTTGAAATTATTGGGAGAGGCATTAAGAATATCACACAAATTATTGCTTTGTTCACCAAAAAATAATAATAAAAAAAAAAACACTGCTTTAGGCATCAGGAAAAGACATCCTAATTGTTATTTTCCACAATTTTGTAAGGATAGTAATCGAAAATAAACAACAACACCAAATTCTTTTTATGGAAATACTAGTCTCATGTTATAAGAGATTAATATTTCATGTCACAAACAAAAAATATATAGGGTCCACTCAATTATTTATTTATTATTTGTTTTAAAAGAATGAACCTCACATATGACACTAATATTTTTCTTCTATTTAACACATTTATAAAGGCAGGACACAAAAAGAAAGAGAACATTGGAATTAGAATTTTTTATTTTTGGTACTAATTCAAGGGTTTTTTATAATAATTATGTGATGCATGTAAAGAAATCTAAATTAAAGATGTATGCTACAATCTTGAGATTTGAGAATATTATCTTGCATTGTTAATAAATTTTTAAAATAACATATAAAGGAGTCAGTCACCTTTAATTAATTTAGAGTACTAAACCAATTAAACATTTAATATTTGTTTAAAGAAATCAAATCAAATAATTAATTTAACAACGTGTAATAAATTATCATTAATGTAAATTAAGAAGATTATAACTAGCTTGTTATTAACTTATATGAGAGAAGTAATATTATATTAATCTAAATTCATAAAATGGGATTAGTTATGGTATCATTCAAAGAGATATGTCATTATAATCTTGAGGATAGTTTACATGCCATTAGAGATTGTCCTGGTGCCAGGGAATTATGGGAGCATTGGGTTCCTTCTAATAACCGTAATGACTTTTTCTCCATGGATCTTCACCTATGGATTCAGACAAATCTAGGATTAAAAGGTCCGTTTCAAACTGATCGAACTTGGCCTTTGTATTTGGGGGGATAGCTTGGTGTTTATGGGGGAAAGAAATAAGGCGATCTTTGATCAAACTAGCACCTCGAAGTATTGTCTCATTAGGCGCATTTCCTACACTTGTGGTAATATTCAATTGGCTAATAAAACCCTTATTAAGATTGGTCATCAGGAGCTTAGAAGAGAGGAATGTCTTATTCACTGGAATTTTCCCTCTAAGGGTTATGTTAAACTTAATGTGGATGGTTCCAGCATAGACAGTGGGCAAATGACTGCATGTGGTGGAGTCATAAAGGATGCTGCTGGGAACTGGTTAACTAGTTTTACAAAATTCTTTGGGAGTGGTACTTCTACTTCAGCGGAAATTTGGGGGTTCTTGACAGGTATGGATCTGGCTTGGCATAAGGGACTTAGGAGAGTCTTTGTGGAGGGTGACTCCAAGGTGGCTTTGGAATTTATAAGAAAAGGGTGTGACGTAAGTCATCCTCTTTATGCTTTAATCATCCGAGCTCGTAGCATGCTCCAAAGAGACTGGATTATTCAGCTTAGTCATACTTATAGAGAAGGCAATTTTGTTGTTGATTGGCTTGCTACTCATGCAACTCATCAGGATGGACAGCTGATTGTGTTGGATGTCCCTCCAACGGCTTGTTTGGAATTGCTTCGTAATGACTTGAGAGGAGTTACTCTCCCAAGATTGTGCCCAGTATAGGACTTTTTTTGTTATTGCTTTAGTTTTCATTGTATTTAAAAAAAAAAAAAGATATGATGTAAATTATTGCTTAAAGGAAACAAATATATTTATGATTAAAATATGAATTTAAAACTTTTACTAACTTGCATTCATTGATATTCTACATTTATATTTAGGCATAAGTGTCATATTGTATATGTGATTAGGGTTGTGCGTGGGTCAGGTCGGGTCAGGTTTTTTTCCGACTCGACCCAACTTGGTCTTTATAGGGCAGGTATTTTGACCCGACCCGCTTTAATTTGATACAAGTCAGGTCCGACTTGGTTTGGATTTTGTTGAACTAGTTCAGAACTGGATCGGATCTGACTTGACTTGGTTTCTGAAGTAGGTCAAATCTGACCTGACCCGTTTTTGACTTGGTTTCCTCACAAAATTTCGTCAAAATTTCTACATTGCAAATGACGAGAATTTCGTCACAAAATTATTTTTCGTCGGAATACTTTTTGTCAAAAAGCAACGAAAATTATTCTCTAATGAAAATTTTTTCAAAACTAAATTTTCTATCGAAATTTAGTTTCCGTCAAAAGTTTTGACGAAAATGATTTCTTCCATCAAATGTTTTAAACGAAAAGAAAAATTCTATCAAAAATTTTGACGTAATGTTTTTCGTTCAAAATTTCAATGGGAATGTACTCTGACGAAAATTTCAACGGAAAATGTTTCATTCGAAACTTTCGACGAAATTTAGATTCTCTAAAGAATTTTGCAGAATATTTTTTCCGTCGAAATTTTTTATCGAAATTTTTTTTTACAGAAATGTGTTTCGTAGAAATATTTTAAGGAAATATTTTTTATCAAAAAACTTGACGAAAATATTTAGTTGAAAATTTTCGATAAAAATGTGTTTTGCTAAAAAATTTGACGAAATTTTTTTTTGGTCAAAAACTTTAACGAAAATTTTTCCGTCGAAAACTTTCGCCGAAATTTGAAATCTGTAAAGAATTTTAATGAAATTTTTTTCCGTCAAATTTTTTGGATGGAAATATGTTTCGTCCAAATTTTCGATGGAAATTATTTTGAGGGAAATGTTTCATTTGAAACTTTCGACGAAATTTAGATTCTCTAAAGAATTTTGACAGAATATTTTTTCCGTCAAAATTTTTATCGAAATATTTTCTGTCAAAAATTTTTACGAAATTATTTTACAAAAATGTGTTCCATAGAAAATTTGGAAATAAAAAAACTTGACAAAATATTTAGTCGAAAATTTTCGATAGAAATGTGTTTCGCTAAAAATCTCGACGAAATTTTTTTTTGTCAAAAAGTTTAATGAAAAATTTTCGTCGAAAACTTTTGCCGAAATTCAAAATCTGTAAAGAATTTTGATGAAAATTTTTTCCGTCAAAAAATTTCGATGCAAATGTGTTTCGTCGAAATTTTTGATGAATATATTTTTTTGTGAAATATTTTGACGAAATTTAGATTCCGTAAAAAAATTTGAGAAAAATATTCCGTCAAATTTTTTTACAGAAATGTTTAGTCACAAATTTTGATGAAAATATTTTTTGTCAAAAAATTTTGCGAAAATTTTTTATGAAAATATTTTTCGTATAAAATTTTGACGTAATTGTTTTACGTTAAAACTTTTCTTTTATGTAATTGTGATTTTCTTTTTTTTTTGACATAATGGGTATGGGTCAAGTTTTGGGTCAATGGGTCAATATTAAAATAAGTCAGGTCTAAAACTGACCGAAATAAAAGTGGGTCAGTATTTAAACCAGTTCAAAAAATATAGATAATTATGGGTCAGGTCAAGGTCGAGTCAAGGGCAGGGCAAGTGAACCAGTTTTTTTGCACACCCTTATA